AGCTCGGAAAAAGGTTATGCTAAAGTTTCTCGTTGTTTTCCTCAGTCCCTGCAATCAAATGCCGAGACAATGACTTATAGTAGGCAGACAGCTTACTTCCATATCCTTCCTAATTCATTATTCAATAATGTCTTTGGAAAAACTTACGAGCTTTATCAGTATTAACGAACTAGTTCAACTGTCTTTACATTAGAGTTCATATGGCAACATATATAAATCTAGAATAATATATAATAATTTATTTTCTGCCGCGTAGTACTTGAAATCCTTTGGCGTGCCATCTGTGGTATGCGTACCACACTTCGGGAAACACCGATCTAGCGCACTCAATGTGTGCATTAGAGAATTTATTGTGGCATTACGGTTGATAAGGTATGTGACTGAATAACAATGATAAAGCGAATCCTTCACTTCATCGGGGTATTTGGAGTTAGACCTACCGATGTTCTGTTTTTGTCACAAAGCCAACAACTTTCTCACAGAAGATGATTCCAAAGCCCTCTTTATTTTTAAGACATGTCAGAATGACAAACAGAAATCATCAAGACTTTGTGAAGTTGCATCTTACAGAAAGTGTTTTGAAAGATTCAACATGACTTTCTAAGTTCCAAACACACAAGTGTGAATAAAATGTAAACCGAGTTTCGAAATAGAAACGAAATTTTAAATGGAACAAGAAATCCATCAGCGTATCCATTGCGACACTGTGACCCTCTTCTGGTTCTGAATCCTGCAGGCATCTGCTGCATTAAGTGTGATCCTCCTCACATTTTCGAATCTAGCTGCAAGAACACACTTTTACAAGCTTGTTGAAACACTGCTGAATTGTTGGTGCAGTTGTTTCTTGGCCTTCTTTAGACACTAGAAAGAATTTCATTTTCTTTTTTGTCTATAAGTTCAAGCAACAGCTTTTAACATCATAATTTTGAGTTTTCAGTTCAGGCTGGAATGGTTTCTCTTCATTGTTAAGATGTATCTTGTTGTTATGGAACACAGACACGGTTGATGAATCATGATTTCTCTCACGGTATTTCCATGTTTTTAATGTTACAGTTCTTTAGTCTCCGACAACCAGCGTGGTTCCCTGAAGTTTTGTGATGATGGCGGTAATTACAGCCTCTCAAATACGCATCACAGCAGACAGATGACAAAGAATCCGCGCAATAAAACTTATTTTCTTTCATATCATCTGGAGCACTGTAACTTTCTGTTCTTGCAATTTGTTAAAAATGACGGGATACTCAAGTGAGCTACCAAAGCGGTTCATGCAACGTAGATGCAGAAGGATAATGAGGAATTCTTGGATCGATGTCAGATGTTACAGACTCACTCATCCATCAATTCGGAATACCTTGCTGTGAACACAATGTTACTTGCCTTTCCAAATTATCTACGTCAGCATATATTAATATAAATATCAAAATTTCACTGAATCTGTCTCAAACTTCGATTCTTGACCAATCCAACGCCTTCACTTTCATTTTAACCTTACTATAAACCTTCTAACATAATAATGCCCTTTCTCCCTCCACGACTCCTCTAAGGTTTTCTCTGTACACTCACTCGTCTGGCATCTTCCCATCTCTCGTGCCTCGAGTATTAAACCCAAGAGAATGAATCTCGGAAACCAATCATATTGGAGTGTAGTAATATGGGTTCCGAACGTTTTGATAAAAAAAAACCAACGCTCCAGCAGGGGTCAGCCGCGGGTCATAAAGTCAGGTTTTCCTGAAACATCACGTACTACTGACATGGCTGCCGTAAACATTACCGGCTACCGTCGTCAGTGTTTCTTCGGTACAGATGATTCAGCTATTTCTATCCATCGAACGGTTGAAATCCAACAGTGCTGACTCCCATTCTTTTTTACACGAGGGTCCACGATCGTGACCTGATTTTATGTTTCCTGGCCACTTTCATTCGCCAGGATTGTACTTACTCGGTGGAAGGCACAACACACACTTCACATTTCTCAATATTAGAGGAACCCACACAATAGCTACACAAAAGATGAAAGTGGAAATCACGCAGAAATTTCGTTGAAAGTAGCAAGCACTGTTACAATCTAACTTCGATATTTTACAGTGTTACCTTCTGTCATGTGGCAAATTTAGATCAGAAGATGGCTGTTTCTGGGCTGTTGCGGCGTGTAGTCTGGTATTTTACCGACGTTTCGGATGCTCTTCCTACCTCCATCAACAAGTCGCGCGCGGCTTATACATATATTATGCCTTTTAGAACATAAAAGTAAATTTAGGCAAAGATTTTGAACTTCCAAGCTAACTTATTACACCTTGACGTAGGGGCAAGAAATATATGCAAGGGACTGTCTGGTATAGGCTGTGTGCAAGAGAAGGCTACCTCTAGC